AAACACCGCCCTGCGGCCCAACTTGGGGCCATCCTACCTCTGCCTGCCCCCACCTGAGCTTTGGCCTTGCCTAGCTACCCGCCTGCCTCTCTGGGGAGTTGAGCTTGGAGGCGGGAGCTTCCGAGAAGGAAACAAAAGGATGAGAGGCGGTGGGGTCAGAAGTCACCTCCATTCTCTACCTCCCATGCAGCGGGGACACAATTCCTCCTGACCTGGGCTTCTGAATTTACGATGGGGCCAAGGCCTGAGGGGTCAGGGACAAGAAGAGCCCTGGGGCCGGGGATTCTGTCATGCCAACCGTGCTTTCCAGAAAGGGGTGCGCAGTAGGTGGAGGCCAGTTTCTGCGTCCAGTTAAGCGTGTGGGGAGCTGGCCAGGAACGGCGTGCACAGTAGAGCGGCTAGGCCTCCCTGGCCACCGTCCATCTCCTAGGGAGAAGGGCATTGCCCCAGACACCCTGGCAGAGGGTAAGCCCTGCCTCCAACTCTCTGGGTCTCCAGCTTCTCCTGGGACCCAGAGCTTCCTGGGAAGAGAGGAGGCGGCCATGGCAGAGGTGCTTGGTGTGTTCGCTGCACCCTCAGACGATGTGTCCATCTTGTCCCGTGTCGGCTTGAGGGTGGAGGGAAAAGAATACCCCCCTCCCGAGTGCTGTGTTCGGGAAGTTTCTTTAACCCCTGTGGCCCAAGAGTAGTTGAAGGGGGCCCTTGCAAGCAGGAACGTGTCACATTCCAGCCTTTCCCGAAGTGGGAGAGGGCCTGGCCAGAGGAGCATTCTTCAGCCACACATCAGCTGGGCTGCAGTCAAGGCAGAGCCAGGTACTGAGCACTCACCAAGCCCACAGCGCGCGCACGTGAAGCGTCCACTTCCCTCCAGAAAGGGGGGCGGGGATGGAGCCACCACCTTCCCCGCTGACCTATTACACCAGGAAACAGCCAGCGGGAGGGGCGTCCCAGGATTAGGAGCGGAGGCAGTGGAGGAGGCCAGCAGTAGTAGTTACAAGTGGCAGGCTAGTGAGAAGCTGAGAGGCTGGCTGGAGGATGGAGCCATGGCTGGCCGGGCTGCCCCCGAGGACGGACTCCTGGGGTGTTGAGACCTATGCAGCATCACACAGGGGATGTGGAGTGGGTCATGCCGACCCCTGGCCAAGGACTTGAGAAGTTATACAGGGCTCTGGCTCTGACCTGTGGACTGCGTTGTGGCTTCCCCAGAAGACCAGCCGCCGTCTCTCTTTGCCCCCTCAGGAAAGAGGGACTGTGTTTCTACTGTACCCTCAGGGTTCTGGAAGGGAAAACATGGAATCTGATTCTACAGAACGATGCGCCCTGCCCACAAGGGCCACACGTGGGGACAGGTATGGGGGTGGAAGGAGAAGTGGGATTTTACGGTGCAGCTGTGCTCGCCAGGAACCAGAATCGGCCTCCCCCTTAAACTTCTCCAGTCCAGGAGGTGGCCTGGGGCCCAGACTGTAGCACAGGCTGCCTCGGCCTGTGTGCATGTCACCACCTCTGCACCTGCTGTCTCGAGACTTAGCCCCGCCTGCTCCTGAGTCCCCCACCCCCTTCTCCCTGTGACGGGGGAGCTTCATGTACTGTGTCTCGGGTCCATCATATGAATTGTGAGCAGGGTTCATCTATTTTAAACACAGATGTTTACAAAATAAAGGCTATTGAAAACCACAGGTGCAGCTGCCTGGACTCATCCCTGGAAGTGGGTCTTGCAGGGACCTGGCAGGGAGGGGGGGGAGAAGGTGCTGGTGGAGGAGGGCTCCGAAGGGATAAAGCAGCAGCAGGATGACAGCGGAGGTGGCCGCAGGCACTGTCCTTCCTTCAAACCTTCCCGAGGGCCACCTGCAGGACGCCCCGAGGAAAGCTCCCGCTGCCCCACGATGGGCTCATCCTGCAGACACAGGATTAGGCTCCGTTCTTGGGAGGACATGGAACATCTGTGTCCAGGGGAGTCTGCACAGCGAAGACGCCTATCAGCTGTTTGGGGTGGGTCAGGAAGTCTGAGGGGACATGGAACAACCTAGACCTGTGGCTGGATACCCTGGGAGCGGAGGCAGACTGGAATCTCGGGGCTGTGTGGTGTTTAACAGTCTACTCTGGGACGTGGAGTTAATGAAAGAGGTAGAGAATCCTGGGGGTAAGGAGGAAGACAAGGCAGGGTAGGAGCGCCTTAAGATCTGAACTGCACTTTACAGAGCACCTGTGATACTTTATCTCTTCTGATCCTGACAATCACAGGTAAGACAGGGAGGGTGTTATCTTGATCCCTGTTCAACAGATAAGGAACAGGTGCTTCAAGACTTACCTAAGAGCCCCAGGAAACCTCAGCAGAATCTTGGCTGGAAACTACTGAACTGGAACCTCTGGAGGGTAAAGCTTTGGCATCTCTAGAAAAATCTCTGTAAGTAATTCTCATAGGCAGCCAGAATTAAGAACCACTGACTCAGGCTTTCGGCCTACTAAGCCAGTGCTGTGTCCAGGACCAGCAAGTCTGCAGAAAGCCACAAGAGTCACACACCTGTCAGTGTGTGCCTAAAGTCAGAAAGAAGCTTCTGGAAAGTGGGGCCTGTAGCTGGAGACAGGTATTTAGGAGAGCTCATCAATTTTACTCAACTGTGAAAGGTGAGAACCGTGGGAGACTGAGGAGTCCAATGCTGCACCCCCACGCTTCAGCTCAGGGACTTCCACGGCCTTCCTGAAGAGGGCTTCAGAAAAAGCAGCCAATGAGGGGTTGTCTCTGGACGCCCAGAGAGTACAGGGGAAACTCAAGGATTGCAGATACATCTGGCAAGTTGAAGTTTCACCCACCGCCAGTGCCAAGTCCTTGTGTGTGACTCACACTGGCTTGGAGGGACGCTTGGTGGCTGCATCTAGGAACTCCCCAGTCTTGGAAGGGGACACCCTGGGCCCTGCATTTCCTGCAGCCCCTTCTGCCCACTTAGGTAGTGGCAACTTGCTTCTAGGGAGCAATCAGCTGAGACACATGGTCCCTGTACACTTAGCTGAAGGACACGCCCTTGGCAAGGCCAGCTGCTCCCAGACCTGCCTGCTCCTTACTCCAGGGGACAGCTCCCAGTGGACGTGCACCGGTAAGAACACTCCAGAAAACATCTGCTTTGCTATCGAAGTTTCACCCCAGACCCCCACAGCCAGGTAAAGCCTCATTGCTAGTTTTCCTGATGGAGAAGTAAGGCATCCAAAAAGCAACCTGTTGCTTTGAAGCGGCCGGCCTAGGTTCTTTATTTTTCTGGGGGCTTTGGGGGACACCTGTTGTGTGGGCCTGTAGCAGACGTCCTACCATCCACGGCACGGCTGGTGGTGAGAGCCTCTGGACGGCCCACCGGTGTATGAAACCATGGCAGCTTCGACCCCTCCACACTTCCTTCGGTGAG